AGAGCAGGTCTTGATGTCCTGACTACTTTATATCTCCTTATGAACAATACAAAGAACAGAGTGGAATAGTATTGGTCTACCTAAGCACCTATTTTCCACCAGGAACTCTAGGGAATAGTCATAAAATCATAATACTAAGTAATAAATTAATTTTATTATTTATATATATTGTCATTGTTATTAATAATATTCGAAAATCCTATTATCATCATTAGTATAAATAGATCTTTAAAAAATTGTGAAAAAAATATATTTACATACATATATGGTGAGTATAAACACGGTAAAGGACTTTGGTTACCATTGGCAACCAACCAACAAAAACAACAATATTGAATATTGAACTATTCAAATAAACAAAAACTGTTTAAAAAAAGCAATGATAATGGTAATAATAATAATAATAATGATAAATAGTTTAGGATGAAATAAAAAAATGTTTAGAAAAATAGAAAAATACAGAGTGAGAGAGAAAGTAAGAGATAGAAGAGGAGATAGGAGGAGTGGAAGAAAGTTGCTTCTATTCCTCTTCTAAATGTGCCCAACTTAGCAACCATCCAACGAACGAACGAATAAACCAGCCATAGATGGACTAATAAATGACTTGTATATTAAAAGTAAGGTAAGGTAAGTAAGTAAGGAAGGAAGGAAGGAAGCAAGGAAGTAATTAGAAGGAAAATCTTTTTTCCTCACTATCTGACAAGGAAATTAACTAAACTGAGGACCGATAATGAAACAATAAATATAGGAAAATAGATAAAAATCAAGTCCCACCCATATGCATATAGGCACAAATATATGTGTATACTGGACAATAGGATAGTTAGTGAAAGTAGATTTTGTAATAACAACGTCATCAATCGTTTTTTCTTTTTGCTGTTCACTGTGAAATTATTAACGATAATGAGGATGATAATAATAATAATAATAATAGTAATAGAGAATATTTTTTTCAATTTATTCTACATTTCAATAGTTTTTGCACTCAGTGATTTGTTTACACACAGAGAGCTATTCAAGTTAAGAGAAGGAATTCGCTTTCATTATACCTCGTCTAGAATAAGGTGTTTCCAATTGTAAATGCAACCTTAGTAATGATTACAATAACAATAATATTAGTAATACTTGAATATGTCAACACTTCTGTCTATACAAGGAAGTCAGTCACCATAAAAATGTGGATTAATTAAACAATCTACGCCCACACATACACTCACACAATGAGTGAAGATACTGTCCATCTTTGTAGTTAAATTAGACACTGAATGGTTAGAGCAATGATCTATGTCGACGTTTGTATGCGTAAAAATAGTTTTAGTTATGAACAGATATGATTAAGATAAAGTGCCTCGTGAACTTGGCAATTATGTTGTCTCATTTGATGTGAATTCACTGACCACATGTGTTCTGTACATCGTTTCACTTTGTTCTTCTTGTTTCGAGGTTGTGCGACAGGGGTATAATAGGTGGAAAATATGATGACGCTGATGATGATTATGATGAGGAGGCTAGTTGTCTTTTGCTAAAGGTATCTGATTCCTATCTATTTCCTGTGTTAAATGGTATAATTTGGTGAGCTTTTCCATATCAGTTTGTTTATTAGATGTTTCACACAGTGACGAAACAGTATTATTTACTGGATGACACTGTTTCGAACACAATTTATTATTCTTCATAATCATCTCATCAATTGTAATCACACGACTTCGAAACTTGAGTTTTATAGTTTCCTCTATCCTCTCCTATTTGTCGTCATTGGGGTAGTAGAAATTTCCAGATATCTGGGTGGACAAGTGTTGAATCATTCCTATTACGCGTGTTTGCAGTTAATTCGATAAACAAAGCTTCTGTTATCAATCTCCCCCTCCACCTTGTGAGATTAGAATTTAAAACTGTCATCCTATCCCATGCTGTTGTGTGGTTGTGTGAAACTGCGTGTGGTGTAGTGCTATAGCTGAACTCTTCTCTAGATTTCTTATCTTATTTGTGTCAACCAATCTAGATTTTGTTAGGTTTTTATGTTCGGCTAGTCTGATTGCCCCTGTTCTACTAGTTTGACGTATGTATTTGACCTGACAATCATTGAGGGAAGGGTGTTACATAAACTAAATTGTTTTGATTTAAAGGCTCCACTGGCAGGATCCTTTAACTGACAAAGCTAGTTTCTAATTGAGTTTGTGGGTGGTTTGAATACCAGCCACTTTTATTTCTGCCTTGTTAAGAATTCTGTGTATGGTTTCCGAGGTTCCTTCCTCGTATGGAATTAATACTGATGATTTAGATTCCTTATTGTTGGTGTCGTCATTAATATTATTATTATCATTATTACCATTATCACTGTCACCACTTTCATTATTTATTTTATTTTTACATTTCTTTACATATTTCCTAACTAATTTATCCGGGTAATTATTAAGTTTCAAGGCTTATTTTATGTGTAGCACTTCCTGTCTTAGGTTTTTGTGCCCTGTCATTTAAACATTTCACCAATCCTACTTTTACTGACATAGGATGGGATGATCTGAAGTCCAAGTATCTGTTTGAATGGGTGGGTTTTCTGAAAACACAAGTGTTTAACTTCCCATCTTCTTTCCTTTTTACGTTGCAATCTAACATTGGAAGTTCCCCTTACTGACTTTCCGATTCATAAGTGAACTGAATTGCTTCTACCTTCGAGTTGATGTGTTTGAAAAATCTCTCAATATCTTCTGTTCTGAGTACAGTGAATGTGTCATCTACATTGAGGTTAGACATAAAGTTTTAGGTAAGGAGAGACACGGTGAGAAGTTACTTCGGCTGAGATGATTAAGCCATCACCTATCCAGTCTAGTAATGTTGGCTAAGATAGGATTATGCTGAAAAGAACTTACAGGGCGGTCAAAACAATGGCCTGGCATCAATCCATCAATTCTATGACTACATGTTCATGCCAAATGAAAAGATATAGAAGGTTCTGAAGAAGTTAAGAATTAATGCCTGGAGAATGTTAGTGAGATGGCTAAAATTCTTGTATCACTGGCGTAAATGCATTCAGTCTTAGTGGGTATTTTCAAGATCAATTAAATCCACATTATGCTGCATGTTAACATTCTTTATGTCACATATTTTTGTCCATTATAGTGTCTTTACTCTTTCTTTTGTTTATTCTTGCCTTGCATTTACTTTTATGTGGAATTTATCATCTTGAAATGCTGAACTTTAGGGCAAACTTTTAGGCTGGAAATACTGTCTCGTTCATTCTATGAGTGTTATCGAGATCAAGATCCAGGTTACTAGGCAGGCGTATTACTGTCTAGCCACTGGACCTCATTCCAATGACCTATGGATTCTAACTCATGTCTACCTTGAAATTATTTAACCTCTACAGACTCAACACTTTGAAATTTTCATTTTGTAGGGAATAGATTTGTTTCATGGTGGATTACGGACTGTTGTCACTAAAAGTTCCATTGAAAACCAGAGAGTATTGGACAACTGTTTCATCTCAGTTTTGGACTCTTCATTGGCACACATCCATGACCCCACTAAGAATTGAATCCAGGACCAACAGGTTTACGAGGTCAAGCCTATTGACTATTCAGTCTTCTGGCTTCTGTCAACTCGCGATTTCAGAGCGACTGCCAACCAATGTCATCGGCTAGTATTTGTGTTTATGCCTGATCTGGTAGACCCTACCAGTGACGATTTTTCACTAGAACTTCAGGCACCTTCATTCTGTCGCCAGTCACCGACGAGCATCAGATTGATTTTCAAGAGTTTGTTTGTGGGGATTCGATTTATTTCAGTCTAACTGATACCAGTCCACGGTTAAACCGGAAACTAAAAAATTTATCTGCAACATTTAGAAATCTTTTATTTCCGGAGTTACCGTAACTCTCACTGACTAGTATTATATCCAGTCAGTAGTCACTTTAGTATCTATCTTCAGTAGACTTAAACAGACTGTGTGAATTGTCGCATACTATTTCTCATAGAAGCAAAATTGTCGCATGAAATAACGAGTTGTGTATGGCCTGAATGCTTAAAGTTATGATCATTTATTTTTTTACAGTGTGTGTGATAAGGTAAGCTTGGACGTGATTGGTTGTTTCTGTGTTTTGTGTGTGAAAACACACAAAAACAACCAATCACGTTCAGGGTCACTGGGAGAGATGATTAATGGTTAATGATTAATTAATTACTAAACTCGCGGAGAAATCTTAAAGCTCACTTCAAATTGAAGTATGCGCTGAAGATGTCGTCTAGTAGGGCGATGAAAGCTTCGCAAATTAACTATCCAGCTCAGAGAACACAACCATATCAAAATCATCCACCTGAGCTACAAATCTCTATCATATCTTCACTGACTTCTGTCTGGTCACTTCTAACTGGCTTTACGACTGCCCACAAGAATGTATTACGCCTTCTTCATAACACTCTGGTCTCCGCGCTTGGATCATAGCTCTTCACTCAGGTGCAATTCGACCGCCTGCCTCTCTTGTGATCTCACTTTAAGGTCATCTCAGCATGTGTTCAATCCACCCGTTATTTCTTTCAGTAAATTCTTGGTTTGTTCACTGGCAAAGTTCCATGTTGCTGACTCTTTCCAACCGGCAAACTAATATTGAATATCAAGTCAGCTATCGACGAAAGCCTACAACAGACTGTTGGAAATGCTTCTGATGACTCAAGAGTGCCAAGCCTTTGAACTACATGGAGGAACTATGCATGGGAGCATCCACGATTGACCTTCTTATTTCTCTTGACTTAATATCGGCTGATAATCTAAGCGAGGTTCCAACCGACACTGTTTCCACTGTCCATTAGAGAAACATTTGTAACTAAATGAAGCTATCATTTTAGGTGGAATGATTAACTTTACAAAAAAATTACTTCCACCAGTGTTTACTGATGACATTGTTTTTTGTTTATTTGTTAACTAATTTGTATTTTATTCAAAGCATTAAATAAATATGATTCCTGTTTCTCTTTAAAAAAACACAATATGTAACATATTCTAGTTGAATCCGATCGTCTAAACGATTTAGAACGCGTTAGAAAAGAACTACAAGAATTGAGAAATCTGTTTTATGAAAGAAAATCGACTTTTTCAGGCAGTAGGTAAGTACACTAAGTGAAGAAGGTTTTAATGAATACGTACACATTTTTTATTTCTTTACGTTCCTAGTGGAACATAGGGCTTCAGCCCTACAGGCTTGAAGTCTTGGTAGCGGTGGTATTTAATTTTACTGGATGGGGTTGCTAGCCTCATACCCAACCTTTCCTCTTTACCAGTCTTATTACTGGCTTAGTGACGTGAAGGAGTGCGTTCGTGGCCGGGGATCGAACCGGGGACCAAGTAGGGCGTGGTCAGCGAGCATTCCACCTCTGTGCCATTGATAAGCGGGCTAACACCTCAACATACGTACATGCATTATCACTCGTTATAAGCATATTCGATTTTGATAAAGGTTTATTCGTCAGGTAAATCATTTTGTGATGAAGTCTTTGGATTTGACAATGAAACTTGAACTTATCTTCAAATTTGAAGTTATCTGAACATCTGTTTTATGAACCCAGCTAAGAGCCATACTTATCTTGAGTGTGTGTGTGTGAGGGTCAATGATTCCACCCATTTGCTCAGGCTAAATTAGGTGGACAAGCCACATGAACAAGAGGTTAACTTTCATGTTAAGGAAGCAGCCAATGCCATTACAAGTAGATTTTAAGGATGAGAAAAACAACGCAACAAACCAACCAATCATTGTCAAGGTTACTAGGAGAGACGATTAGTAGAATCGTGCAGAATTTTAAAAGCTTACTTCAGATTGAAGCATGCGCTGAGGATGTTATCTAGTAAGACGTCGAAAGCTTCGTGATTAAAACATCCAGCCCAAAGAAAACTACTACACCGAAATCATCCATCTGAACTACAAATCTCCTCCCTCATATTTCACCTCATCAAATAGTATTAAAAAAATAGTAAAATGTGATTATTGGGAGAATCAGAGTTACTGTATTTCAGTTCAAGGACAATAGGTAATCTGTTAGTGTATCCATTACAATTTTAAAAGATGTCAAGATATAAGCCAAAAAAACTCATTGGTGACATCTTTGACTGCAACACTGGGTGACGTGGTTTTGAATCCCAGAAGGAATATTTATCTATTCAGGATTTCAGATACGCCTTGCTGACTGGTGAGTGCCAACAGGTACTAAACCTAGTCAAGTTAGGGCATCTTGCCGACCACTCTCAGCTATCTGACATTAATAGTTACCATATCGAAAACTTTGTTATACTCATCTCAATAAAGCAGAAAGCTGCTTACTGATGAACTGCCCGGTAAAAACTAATGGATTCTTAGGGATAGACGATTTTCAGAATAGGTTTCAGTTTTAATATTACTTTGTCAGTGAAATCACATCAACCATAAACAGAACTTCCTATACTTGGCCAGTGAGGATAATTAACCTTCTGAGAACTGCACTTAAAAACAACTTTCATTTAGATAGGATATTAGTGTAGGCAAATTTTATTTACGGAAAATTATGATGAGCTTATCTAGGAAACACGGTTTCAACCACAGGCGATAGCACGGATGAAGTTGTCAAAGCTAGAATCGGAAAGGTAAGATTTACCTTCATTAATCTAAAACCAGTTATGAAATCTTCTGCACTAAGTTAGTCAGCGTGAAGAACAAGATTCAGATTTTCAGCACCAATGTCAAGTTGGTCCTTCTATACGGGTCAGAAACGTGGCCAGCGCGTCATGGAAAGCATTTCCAACAAATTACAGAATTTTATTAACAGCTGCGTTGGTGGCATAGCGGTTAGGACGCTCGCCGACTATGCACATAGTCCGGGGTTCGATACCCCGGCCACCGACGCTAGACCAGAAACAATGCTGATGAAAAGGGGAAGGTTGGGCATGAGGCTAGCAACCCCATCCTGTAAAAATAAACACTGCTACTGAGACTTCAAGCCTGTAGGGTTGACGCCCTATGTTACACTGAGGAACGTGACGAAAAAAAATCAACAGCTGCCCCCCCTCTGCCGGTCGGCTTCATACTGAAGATCAAATGGCCAGCCAAGCCAAGAAAGAATTAGCAACAAGAAAATCTGGCAACAAACCAACCAAGAACCTTTTTCTCAACAAATATATACGAAAAATTGGAGGTAGATCAAGCATACACTGAGGAGGCTGTTGAATGACATCGCGCTCTGTGTAGACCATAGCTCGAGTTGAATCCCAATTGGAGGCAACTAGTGCGTCGTTGGTGCGAGAGTGACATGGAGATCTTACGAGGAGGAGATGCGAGGTAATGACCAATTGTGAGCCCAGCTAAAGAGGACTGCAGAAAATAGAACAAAGTGAAGATGTGTTGTTGAAGCGCTATGTTCCATTCAGAACCAAAGGGAATAATAGTAATATAATCATAATAATAACAATGACGAACTCAGGTGTATAACTTTTGACAATAGGACTGACTTACATAATAATGTAGATGTTTTTTTAACGGAGCAAGTTAACCTATGAAAGTCTAGTGTATGTTTATTATCTACGAAAAATAATTGGCTTTAGAGTATTGTGAAGTAGTATTTAGCTCTATCTCCTTGATTTTCAGTACAGTGGAGTTTTAGTCCTTTTTTACCCCTCACGTTCCAGGTGGAATATAGGACTTCAAGCATGAGCTTTAAAGTTTCAGTAACGGTGGTGCTATTTCTACTGGGTAGGGTTGCTAGGTTCAAACTCAATCTTTCCTCTTTGCCGGATTTACAACTGGATAAGCGAGGTATATGAATGCATCAGCTTGGAACGGAGTGGAGTCCCGTATCGTGTAGGTGCGCTGACACCGGAGGTCTAACCTTACTTCGAATGAATTAACAAAGGCTATGTTGATCCAGAATTCGATGTGAGAAAAGATGAACTGACAGTGGTTTTTGAGGTGATGTCATCGAGAGTCATCGGTTCAAGAGGTACTAGAAGTAAACATCATAAATAAACATCGAAATCCTTAAGCAAAATACAGGATGGTAAAATGAGATCATTTCTCAACCACCAGTATGAAAGTGGAAATAAATCTGGTCGATACTATTCAACCCTTTAAATAACTGGTTTGAAAATCCCTTAGTTAATCTATTTGCTTCTTTTCTGGCCCTTTCTAATGCATCCTCTTCAATATGCCAAACATGAACTAGCTGCCTGGGTCTTGTATTTTGAACGGGTTCTCATATAAGTCAGATACAATATACGAAATTAATCAGCGTCAAAGTTTGCAGAAGTCTCATGGAAAACTGAGAGATAGGGATGGTTTCCTTCTCAGTGTACTAAAGTTCCACTTCTAGATTAAGTTCCGGAAAATCTTATGGATAGAATTTTCGGCTGAAGTAACTCAACAAAGTCTCAGCCTTTGTGAAGTTATTAAAGGAAACTTTTTCGGCCTTAATTAAGTGGAAGTGGGGGGGGGGGCGTTATTCTTCCTAGTTCTTCCCTTCAAATAAGAAAAGCCTTTGAGGACAACTTTATGGACTTTAACCAGTTGTAATTCTTAAGTTTTTCCAGACTTATAGATCAAGACCTTGCACTGATTTCCAGTTTCACAGTATTTTAGCGAGGAATTAGTTCATCCAAGAGGGAATGAAGGCCTTCCATAGTCTTTTTCTTCACTAAAGAACTTTAATGACTTGTTTATATGTGCAAGATGGACCATTTGTTGGTCAATGAAGAACCCTACATGGGATAGATTTAGGCGTGAACATTTCAAGTTTATTTTTGAATTTATTCCATGCATCATTGATGCAAAGCAACACACATTTCTTATTTGTAATATATACGTTTTATAATATAGCGCTGAACGTAACTATCCAGGGAATCTTCGAATGAGCAGTAATGGTGTCAAAATTGTAGAAATGCAAAATTTACCGGTTTTTGAAAAGGTTAGTTAATCAGTTTAATGATGGTTTTTTTAAATTCCTTTGTATTCCGAGTGGAACACGGGTCTTCGAGCTTGAGCTTTAAAGCCTCACAAGTAGTGGTGTTGATCATTTAAAAAAAAATGTGAATTCGCTAGCTTAACGCTCAACCTTCTCTATTTTACTTGGCTTAATACTTATTGAATGAGATTCAAAAGCGCGTCGGCAGTGAATCGAATCCAGGACCACATGGGGAGTGGTTGGTGAGTATTTTAACGGTGAACCACTGACTCATTTTTTCATGGCAGTATTATAACATATTTTTGATATTATTTATAATACTGATATTCTGGACCATACCCTCCATTGGACCCGGATAGAAATCGGCGAAATGAACACCATGTAGTTCATATAAGGAGGCTATGAAAGCTAGTAGCCAGTCATAGAGCCAGTTGAGAGCGATGGCAGAGGGTCAAGTGCAATGAAGATGTGCCTTTAAAACCTTGTGTTCCACCACGAACTTGGGAAATAAATAAAAATAGTGATATTCAGGATTGATATTACCCGGAAGGTTACATAAATATTTCAAATGTTGATACTATCATTGTAGAAAAAGAATGTTAGGCTGTGTTCTTTAAGTCCACTTTGTAGAAGTATGGACTTCGACAATAGACGATGTAAAAAAATTCATTGTATTTTCACTGGACTAACAGATTTCATATAAACTTCTTAAATAGTTCTGCTTGCAATTATCCAAAGGCGATGAAAAATGGAGGCATTACAAAATAAGTTTTGGATTCATAAACATTTAGTCCTCTCAATATGGGCATGATTAGGACAAAGCTGCTTCCTATCAATGATGATATTTCTGATTGATGAGAACTGGATTATGCAACAGACTGTGTGGATCTCAGAAGGGCATGAATTCCTTCAACGATTGTGAACATGCCTTGCTCACCGGTGAGTGCAAACAAGCACGAAATCCAGTTCAGACAACGCTTTCGGCTGCTGATTACCTCCAACTATCTAACAGGGATTTAAGGTGTATTGTGATTCAGAGCCGCCTAGTATGGTGGCCACATTTCAAAATTCCCTGACAGAATACAGTCTGCACCAGAAGAAGGAGTAGACTACTGACACTAGTTACTTACTACCTAATATTTAACCAAAAGTAATCTGGGTGTACTGGACAACTGATTCGTCCTAGTTTGGGACTCTTCATCAGTAACCACCCAATAGGGTTCAAACTCAAGACACTCCGGTCAGAAGGTGAGCTCATAGACCATTCAGCCACTGAAAGCAACCTCCAGCAACCGCAGCAGGTGCGTACTTCTGAGGAGTCCCAGACTAAGAGCAAACGCCCCCCTCCAATACTCTCAGATTTACAGTGGCCCTGTAAGTGATTTTATCTCGTGATTAAACCTGTAGCCAATCAAATCCCTGCAAACCAATACTTGACAAAGGTTATCTGTTAATTTTAACGTTTTTCGTAAATTTATATGGTAAAGGAATCTTGTCTTTTAAAGTTTTTGTTAACGTGATCTCACCTTCGTTTGTTGTGTTTTCCCTGTTTATTAATAGTATACACTCACCGAATCAACTATTGACTTTTTAAAGAAGCCAACATTTGATATTTGGCACTGGGAACCAAATGAGGTAAGAATCTGCGAAACCTCAATCTTTATCTTTGTATATATATATATATATATATATATATATATATATAATGGATTGCAAGAGATTATAAAATAGATGTTAGTAGAAACAACTGAAATAACCTCAATGTTTTGGTTATCACCAGCGGAGTCTATCAAGTTGGGTATGGAGAAAAATACCTATCCAGTTAGACCGACTGGCTGCGGCGCTACATGTGGCAAATTATTGGTAGTCAGAACTGATAAGCACTTTGATCCTGTGTCTTAGTAGCTGAATAGTTGACGGATTCACCTAAAAAATGAAGGTTCCAGGTTCGAACAACCCTTTGGGATCAAGGAAGCATACTTCTGAAGTATCCCAGACGAGGGTGAGGTAGCTGTCCAGAACTCCGTGGTTTTTCAATAGTTCTCTAATTGAAGTCGCTTCGTGATCAATCTCGAAATCAGTGTTTTTGCAGCATGAAATGAAATTTTATCTTAGCAGTTAAATAATTGTTTTTCATGGTTAATTTAACGGTAAAGACTTCACATCTGTCAAGTGTAAGTCACTAGGATCTTCATTTATTCAGAATACGCACCTCTGATTGAATGAAGATGGATATACTTAAGCTAATAGGCACCCATATTATTCGTTTGTAAGTTTTGTTGATTTTTTAGTGTGGTCACAAACTGATGTCAGTAAGAGAACCTCTGAAAGACCGAGAAGTATTGGAGGAATTTTCTATACTATTTTGGGTCTCTTCAACAGCACCACCACCAGGGTTTGACTTCAATGTTGTATGAAATTTCGACACACTGGGAACGATTTGTAGTCTAGATGGATGTTTTTGGCGCTAATGTGTCCTTCAAACTGGAGTTAAAGCTAAAAATGTTATCCAGGATGATAAGCAATTTTATCAGTTAAACCATCAAGCTCAGAGGAACAATACATGCTAAAATTATTTGGCCCCTGTAACTAAATGACCTTGTACAACAAATTTCTTAATAGTGATCGTCGATGGCTGGAGACTTATATTTGTTTGTGTGAACAACTCAATCTTTAAATAATTTGCACTAATCTTACAGGCGGAAATTATTATTACAACCATTCTGAGCGGAACATAGGGCTTCAGAAATATATCTCCACTTCGTTCTATTCTTTGCAGTCCTCTTTAGCTGGCCCCACTATTGCCTATAGGCCTTCATTACCTCCTCATAAGACTTCCTCCATGTCAGCGTTGGATTTTTCACTGGTCTGTTCTCAGTGAGCTTCCCCTCGACACCCTGTTGCGTGATGTCCGCTGACGGTCTCCTTAGGGTGTATCCAGTCCACCTCCATTCACCTCGGCTTACTTCTTAGGCGATCAGTTCTTGGTTGGGCCATCCTCAGGGTTTCTCGTTGCTGACTCTTTCTGGCCATCTTATCTTCAGCCTGGAGTCAGAGAAGGTAGGTCTGCAACTCTTTAGAAATGCTTTTCGTGATGCACATGTTAAGTTTGTGACCCATATAGAAGAACTGACTGAACATTGATGTTGAAAATCGGAATGTCGTTGTTTATATTGAGTACAGAAGACTTCCAAACTGATTTTAGAGTGATGAAGGTCTATCTTACCTTTCCGACCCTATTTGATTTTGAAACCCTCATTCATGCTGTCGCCTGTAGTTGAAATGATACCATCTAGATAAGTGGAGGAGGTGATTTCTTTTAAATTTGGTGGTGACCGGGGCTGACTGTTGCTGGTTGATTATTTTCATTACCTCTGCCCGTCTCTTTTTCCAACTTGTTAGTTTTCACCTGTAAGTCTTACAGTTTGTGTGATATTAGGCATCAATCATCCGGGAAATCCGGATTTTATAGAGTCTTCCTATTTATCCAACGTATCCCTGTATTCTCGTTCCCGACGCACAGTCTGGCTCATAATCTAGTGCACCATAATGGAAATATTATCGGTGATTGTAGGCAGCCTTGTGTTTCTTTTGTCTTTACTTCAGTGTCATCCCTGAATTTTCTTTTGTGAATGACTTGATGTATCGAATAAGGTTGATAAAGGTTTGTGGGGCTCTGTAGTGTTGAAGTAATTTCCAAATTACTTCACTGTCAGAACTGTCATAGGTTAATCTCAATCAAAAGCTGGGAAGAAATAGGATATGTGACATTGTTATTATTACTTCCTTAGGTTCCGAGCGGAACATGCGGCTTCAATAACACATTTCCATTTCATCCTTCTTTTCTGGAGTCGCCTTTATTCAGCTCTACGATTGCTCACAAGTTCTCACCTACCTCCGAACACAAGCCCAACTCGTTGTTCCCTTTTCAGATGCCAATCGATGTCCTGGAGCCCGATTTTACTTATTACTGGTTTGCTCAGCATGTGTTTGACCCGTCTCTGTTTCCTTCTGCGTATTCTTGGTTGGTTTGTCCCCGGAATTTCTTGTTGCTAATCCCTTCCGGAAAGTCATCTGATATTCAGCATGCTGTGAAGCCAGCTTTAAACAAATGTCTGAACCCCGTTAGAAGTCCTTTTGATGAGGCGTGAAAGATGTACAATGTAAATATATCATACCCGGAAGAATCGTATACTTTCATCGATAGAAAACAAATAAAAAATTTAGTTCACAGCCCGCAAATAAGTATCCTCTTTTAAGAATACTAACGTTTTAGGGACTGACAGAAAACAAAGGAGTACTGCACACATGTTTTGTCGTCAACTAATAATGTCCGGTATTTTAAAATCAAGACTTTCTGGTTACAATGTGAACATATATACCATTCAGTTACTTTGTCAGGACCTACTGAATTCTACATACCATCGTTACATTTGACGTTCTATGCGTCGGTGGCACAGTGGTTAGGACTCTCGCCGACCATGCACATGGTCCGGGGTTCGAGCCCACGCCGGCGCACACCTGATATCTATGGTCGGCCTGCAAAATTTGGGCTACCGATATCCATGCTGAAAATTCCATACTTGTATCAAAAATACAGTGTGGAATCAAGCTGTAAATAAAAAATAAAAAAATAAAATAAGTATTATTTCGTTTGTACTGTTACCGTTTCTTAATTCTTGTGTTCTGCCTGTACTTCTTTACTGCTCCCCCTGAATCTTTTCGGGGCTACTTAAAAACATTTTGTTATACTGCGTAGGGCACTAAAAGCCGTCATTAGGGCGAGTGGGGTGTTGCTAAACCAACTCGCTCGTACTATTGTAGATAGACATTTGGATTCTTGCAAGAAATTAGCAAATATTATCCTGTCAGACGCTGAACACCCTCTCCACACACAACTCTCTCCCTGCATTTCATCGGCTATAAGTGGAAGCAACTACAGAAGATTGTATGCTCAGACAACTAAGTACAAGAACTCTATGATACCTTATTTAGCACACATTCTATATAATGAGAGAAGTGTAAGACAGGAAGTTACCAACCTACTGAAGAACTCTAAGTAAACGGCATTTTCTTGTTGTTCTCATTCTAAACTTTTCGCTAATATTCACTTGATTTAATTTTGTATTCACTTCTTATTGTACAATGTCATTAATGTAAACTATTAACAATGTAAACGCTCTATTTTAATTATTGCCCTATAATAAGAAGATTAAATGCAATACTGTATTACATACTGAAAATTCCATATTTGTACTGTTTGGAATAAAGCTATTATTATAAGTAATAACTGTGTTGAGTATTTGTCCATGCATCTGACATATTGAACTATACCAGTCACCACTTCTTAGTAGAGCTTCAGGACATTTAGAATATTTCTCTTGAAGTCAGTGACTAATGGAAAGCAGAATTAATTTTTAGAAGTTGGGTTTACAACTGTAACTTTATTTTTTAAAATATTTTTAGATGCTGGCATTACTTGAGCACATGTATAGTGAATTGGGATTAGTTGCCGAATTCAATATTAATCCGCTTACTTTGAAACGTTGGTTGGTAAGTGCTTATTTACTAAAAAATATATATAAATTCAAGTGTTGGTTTACAAGGACTGTGGTGGTAAGTAATTCCATAATAGTTTGTTTATTAGATGTTTCACACAGTGACGAAACAGTATTATTTACTGGATGACAATGTTTCGAACAAAATCTATTATTGTTCATAATCATCTCATCAATTGTAATCACACGACTTCGAAACTTGAGTTTTATAGTTTCCTCTATCCTCTCCTATTTGTCGTCATTGGGGTAGTAGAAATTTCCAGATATCTGGGTGGACAAGTGTTGAATCATTCCTATTACACGTGTTTGCAGTTAATTCGATAGATAAAGCTTCTGTTATCAATCTCTCCCTCCACCCTGTGACATTAGATTTTAAAACTGTCATCCCATCCCATCCATCCTATTATGTGGTTGTGTGTAACTGCGTGTAGTGTAGTGTAGTGCTATAGCTGAACTCTTCTCTAGATTTCTTATCTTATTTGTGTCAACCAATCTAGATTTTGTCAGGTTTTTATGTTCAGCTAGTCTGGCTGACTGCCCCTGTTCTACTAGTTTGACGTATGTATTTGACCTGACAATCATTGCAGGCAGAGTATTATATAAACTTAATTGTTTTGATTTAAAGGCTCCACAGGACTGATCCTTTAACTGACAAAGCTTGATTATAAGTGATATGATTGTGAACAATAATAATAAGTTAGATCACCTACTGACATAAGTTGGAAAATTAATGGAAAACACCATGTAGAAGGGGATAGTTTTTACATCCTTGTACAGCACTCATCGGTAGTATGTACCTGTAGTCCCACTACCAAGAATGGAACTCAGAATCTGTGAGGCAACCTTGTTGACCATTCACCACCTACTGGGAAAAAATCCATTAGCAGATGAATTCTAGCCTATAGGAATGTTCTACATACATCTATTGCCCTTTATGAATTTGAATAAAGCAAAACAGTAAAATTTATGAACCATAAGATGGTACCATCGTTCATCTCATCAGCTTCTCATCATCTGCGTACAGCTTGAAAAATTAACCAAATTTATATACAGAAGAATTCTGACATATTTGTAAATATTACATAATATCAGTTGACAATAGACTCCAAACTAAGTAGAAAGTGCTCATAAGTTGAACCAATATAACTTATATAGAGAAGGTTCATTAATTGACGAAGTTAGAATTCACGGGTCATTGAATTGTAGTCTAAATGGATTAATGGTCAACGAGCTTGTTCTAATAACCTGAAGGTCTCGGGTTCCATACCTGACATGGTAGTGATTGTCTACTGCTTCAGAGTCTCAAACAAAGGTGCTCCTTTGCTTTCAATGATCTATCTAACTGATTTCGGTCTTTGTAACAAAACCTTCATTTAGACAAAGCATTAAGAAGACGTAATTTGTCTGAATCATGTAATCTATATGCGCACAACACATTTCGAACAATCTGATCACACAAAGACATGTCATAGGAATATATATGAAAATAATAAAGAGTTAAGGGGTAAGAAAATAGACTTGGATCAGGTCAAAAGGACATAATGAAGGTCAAAATAACAATCATCTCGCGAAATTTGTCTTCTTAATGTCTTATTCAAATTTATCAAAGGGACTAGCTGTTTTAACAATGAAGATCACTAAAGCAAATAACAGAAGTAATAGTACATCTGCTATGGTATGAAAACAAAGTTTACGAAGAAAGGATTAGTGTGATGATGAATTGTTTTTTTTTTCAACGCATATGGGTGGCTTAAACTTCCTAACTGCTAGGTAGGGCTTCCACAAACTTTAGAATACGCCCCAAACACGTTTTATAGATAGGTTTAAAAGACGTGTAAATATCAATTATGTGTCTTGTCTCTATAACGTGTTTCGCTGTAGAGGATCTAGGTCGTCTGTTCTCACAATTAATGGGTTCTGGGGATTCTAATTGCTTCTGAAGCCATTTGGGAATATGCTCTGAAGGCAACCCTTACTTGCAGACATCGATGAGTCCTCCCTATGTATGCGTATCCACACGTACATTTAAACTGGTGAATACAGTGATATGTAGCATAATTTTTCGCAAGTTCTAAGGGCTTAGGTGGATATATCGTCTCCACATTCTGACTTATCCTGATCTTAACTGTATCTGAGGTGTTTTAACCTCAGTGTTCAATCTTTGTTAAGTAACTAAGCAACTGTGGTCGCCCATTTTGGGTAGCTAGCTTGAGGCGAGTTTGAGAGTGGGTCTTGGTGTTCTGACCACTCTCTATCTCCTAATGTACTTTTGTGGGTAAATATTTTTAACCAGAGTTTGTGTCAACTTTCTTTGTTCCTCATTAAGTGTGCCTTCGGTGCATATCCGTTGGATTTTATTGAGGAGGCACCTCACTCACTAAGGTCCTTTTGTACCGAATAGAGCAGAAACTGTGATAATTAAGATAGTGTCCTGTCTAGAAGGGTTTTCTATAAATAGATCCTTTTATTAATCCACGAGGCCGTCGACTGAGCAATATATCTGGGAAAGGTAAACGTCATCAGTTAATATTTCTGTATAACACTATGTGATTTATCAAAATAAAATCTTATCTATAATGGAATTATCTTCCTCTTCTACACACATAAGTGATATGCTATTCTGAACTTCATTCATCCGAGTTAAAACTGAGGTGGCAGAACAAGCTTTATCACTTTTGATTACAATGTCGTCAACATATATTCTATAAAGTGGTGCATTTGCGATTAAGTCTTCCGATAAACGACAAATGTGCTAACAGCGAAACCATCGATCTGATGGAAGCAACCGCCTTCAAATCTGAATCTAACATTGCTATTACATGGAAGCAATAAATCCCTTTAACAAGATATAGGAAACGGGATGAAAGAGTTATGTGTAGAAATGTAATCACACAAAATGTCAACTGTTTTAAATAAAAGCACATTAGTTACTAAAGTGTTTGTCTGTCTCTCTGTCTGTTTTCGACATAGAACTTTGCACAAATGTGCGGCAGTTCAAGTCGCCACACTCCGTGTAGCACGCGAAGCAAGAGAAGAAAGTACAAGAAAAGCATAATAGAGACAGTGAGCAGAGGGGTGAGACAAAGGCGGAGTAATAACGAAGAACAAAACAGTTTCATTGGAAACCATAAGTCACAAGAAGTGGATGCATCTGCGCTAGCCACTGAGAACGATTTTGAGCCATGTCATCAATTGTTTCCAACCATAGATTTTTACCGTCCTGAGGACCCCAGCCTGGAAGTCTACACCTTCCTATGTGGCTGGCTTAGACCAACTGTTGTGGATTTCATTGACTGGTTCCATGTTTTTGTTTGACCGCCGCTAGCTTTTCTCCAGCCTGACTCTATATCCGCTAACATTGCTCGTCGAGGGAGGCGATGACTTGGCATACGTAACACATGTCCTAACCATCTCAGTCTTTGTAACTTCACGACTTCGTCGATTGATTTCCCCTGTTTACCTAGAACTCTACGCCTAACCTTAATATTGCTCACCTTATTATACCACTTCACACGGGAGATAGTGCGCAGGCACCCATGATCCATGACAGCTAGTCAGTCTTTTCATGTCTTCCACTCTCAGTGGCCAGGTCTCACAGGTGGCCATAAAGGAGGACGGAGCGGACTGATGAGCAGTACACCCGCCCTTTGGTCGATAGTCGAACATCTCGTCTACGCCAGAGTCGGCGTAAACTAACAAATGCGAAACGAGCCCCTTGTATTCGTGCTGATATTTCGTCAGAGATCAGCCCGTTGGGGCTGATGGTACTTCCCAAATAAGTGAAGCGGTCAACGTGCTCTACCACTTCACTTCCTATTTTTAAACTAGGCGTCGATGTAGTCCAGTCCTGTAACATCATCTTGCATTTGGCGGGAGCGAATAGCATGCCAAACATTCGTAGATTGCGGCTCAAGGTGTTTAGAAGACTCTGCATTTTGTCACAGTCGTCGCCTAGGAGGACTATATCATCTGCATATTCTAAGTCAACGAGATTATTCCCTGGTAGGAAGTCAATCCCTGAGTCTCTCAAGTGAGTTAGGGTTAAGTCCATTAGTACATCTATGATGAAGTTGAATAGAAAAGGGGATGATGGGCATCCTTGACGGACACCACTAGTCGACATCAGTTCAGATGACAGCTCGCCGTAAGCCTTCACCTGGCTGGCTAAAGTGTTTACATTAAAGGAGTACATATTTTTATTCATAATATTAATGTCATCAAGATAACCAGCCAATTGAAATGTGGATTTTATTATCTTCTTACGAAATTGTGTTTCGACTGCAATAATTCTACTAAGTTTATGTGTTGAAGGGCGTAAAGGATTATTGGGTTTATGTGTTTTCGTTGATAAACACTGAAAGTCTACGTCAAAAAAGACAGAGGCTTCGATACATTGGCAAATCAGTTGAGTAGTAACAACAATAAGTATGATAGAGAAGATTTGTAGCTCAGGTGGATAATTTTGATGTGGTTTTGTTCTCTGAGCTGGATGGTTAGTTTGCGAAGCTTTCATCGCCCAACTGGGTGACATCTTCAGCGCTCTTCAAACCTTTAGGAATTGACGTCGTACACAAACCAACAAAGTCGCTGCACTCAATTCTATGTCAACCAAAAGACTCAACAGCAAAAGAAGACAAAACCAACATCATCTACAAAATAAACTGTAACAACTGTGAAAAACACTACATTGGCCAAATTGGACGTCCCCTTCGTCTTCGTATCCACGAACATAAGCTAGCCATCAAAAGACATGATATACACTCCCTCATTTCACTGCACACAGACAACCACGGACATCAATTCGACTGGGACAACGTTCAAATATTAGACAAAGGAAATAACAAGAATGCTAGAGAATTTTTAGAAGCTTGGCATTCCAGTGAATCATCAATCAATAGACACATAGAGATAGACAAAATTTATCAACCAATAAGGGTCAAAGTTCAAGTCACAGAAACAATCAGTTCCAACACAAGTAACCTAGAAGGTGTGAAA